CGTGTTCTCGCCTCTCTTGTTACTCACCCTCGTGCCTCTCTGTCCTCTGTGTCCGCTCTTACTGCCGCAGTCACTGACTTTGCCTCTACCCGCCGCCTTGACTTCGCCACCGGTCTTGTGGCTGCTCCTCCTTCCAGTCCTCTGGCCGTCGGGGGTGTGTCTGCCCTTGGCTGTGACGCCCTAGAGGACAGGCAGTTTGAGCTAGAGTTCCTGGCAGCCGCTTCCCCTCATCTCTGTGCCATGCTCCTCGCCCCTGAGGGTGACCCCGACGCCCTTGACATTCCGACTCCTCGCACTTACGCTGAGGCAGTGTCAGGGCCTTGGGCCTCTCAGTGGAGAGCTGCCATGGACGCAGAGATGGCCTCCTACAGATCCACAGGCACCTACGTCGATGAGGTTCCCCCCCCTGGGGCGAACGTAGTCGACGGCATGTGGATCTACAGGGTGAAGCGGCCACCGGGATCTCCCCCGGTCTTCAAGGCGCGCTACGTGGCTAGAGGTTTCAGTCAGCGCGAGGGAGTTGACTTCTTTCAGACCTTCGCGCCCACCCCGAAGATGACTACTCTTCGGGTGTTACTGCACGTAGCAGCACAGAGAGACTACGAGTTACACTCTCTCGACTTCTCCACTGCTTTCCTTCAGGGCAGCCTACACGAGGAGGTCTGGCTGCGTCGTCCCTCTGCCTTCACTGGCACCTTCCCTCCTGGGACCCAGTGGAGGCTGAGGCGACCTGTCTACGGTCTTCGCCAGGCCCCTCGTGAGTGGCACGACACTCTGCGTTCTACCCTCTCTGACCTTGGGTTCCAGCCTTCTTCTGCTGACCCGTCGCTGTTCGTTCGTCGTGGCTCCACACCTTTCTTTGTTCTGGTCTACGTTGACGACCTCGTTTTCGCCACTGCTGACAGGGTTGCTTTGGCACACGTGAAGTCCGAACTGCAGAAGAGACACACCTGCACTGACCTAGGTGAGCTGCGCCACTACCTTGGCCTGCAGATCACCAGGGACAGAGCTGCTCGCACCATTACACTTTCACAGTCACACATGGTGCAGCAGGTCCTTCAGCGGTTCGGGCTTCAGCACTCCACAGTACAGCGCACACCTCTTGCTGTTGACCACAGACTCACTGGACCCTTTCCTGACGAGCCGTTTGAGCCTAGTGGTCCCTACGCAGAGCTTGTGGGTTGCCTCATGTACCTGATGACTTGTACTCGCCCGGACCTCGCCTTCCCTCTCAGTGTCCTGGCGCGCTTTGTTGCGCCAGGGAGACACCGCCCTGTTCACTGGACAGCAGCTGTGAGGGTGGCGAAGTACCTAGCGACGACATCAGGCGTGGGGCTAGTTCTTGGAGGACAGCAGTCTGTTGTACTTACTGGTCACTGTGACTCTTCTTACGCTGACGACACTGAGACTCACAGGTCTACTCAGGGGTACTGTTTCAGCCTGGGTTCTGGAGCTGTTTCCTGGCGGTCCACGCGCTCCTCTTCGGTCTCGACCTCTACAGCTGAGGCTGAGATCTACGCTGGAGCCATGGCTGCACAGGAGCTGCGTTGGTTGACCTTCTTGCTCGCCGACCTTGGTGAGCGGCCGAGCTCTGCACCGACCTTGTTCACTGACAACAAGGCGTCGATTCTCCTTTGTCGAGAGCCGCGACTGGAGAGCAGAGTGAAGCACATTCACGTCAGGTACTTTCTTCTGCGAGGGCTGCAGAGACGTGGACAGGCTCGCTTCGAGTTTGTGGAGTCCGAGGCCAACACTGCAGACATCTTCACCAAGGCGCTTGCGCCTTGTGACCACCAGAGGTGCTGTGTGCAGTTAGGCCTTGTTGACACTGGTTCTCGTCTTGCTTAGACTTGAGTGCACTGTTTACTTTGCTTGTACGCTTTCTATATATCTTTGTTATATCTTGGACTGGCCTTGTGGCCACTGGTGCTTGTGCTCAGAGTGTGTGGTGACGTTGTGATCCACCCTGAGCTTTGTTTCTTGGACTGGTCTTGTGACCGTACTCTTTTGATTCTGCTAGACACCCCTCACCTAGGCTATGGGGGTGTGTCAAATGTGGTAGCCTATAGTGAGGTTTGTCTTAGGGAGTACAAAGTTAGGGTTTGCTACTTGTACCCCAACCAACATCAATGCATCATCAATTCCTTAGTTTGACAGCTATTAGAGTGCGAGCCTCACTTACGCATTCGAGAGCCGATTTGTGTGTGTTGTAATGCACGCTCACGTAAGTCTGTTCTAATGCACGCTCAAAGAAATCTTGCATTAACATGTTCCACTAGTTCGGTAGTTACACTCACTTGTGATTGGCATAATCGGACAGTTAAGGTAAAGATTACAGGGAAAACCCCCTTCGATATTACTCGCCAGCACTGGGGTTTAACCCGGAACCTACATACCATCTGAGCTGGGAAGTTGTAGCTTAGAGGGTTCAATCTCCTATCGCTTAGCTTACGCAAAGCATTTTGCAAGACAGTGTACTTGGGCGAGGGCGTGTGTCACCTGCCAACTAACTGCGTTTGGTTGCATATCGTTCCCACTGGAGGGCTACGCTTCTCATATGCTTCTTCTGCAGCACATTATATGCTTACTCTCCAACCAAACAAGGTTCCTAGCTCCACGCATTGAGGCACTGCAGTGTAGGATAATATACATCCCTCTCTGGCAAGCGAGGGGTGGGTTGTTCCTGGTTCCGGCCTTGCCTTCAGGCGTCGCAAGCGGGTGGTTTGGCTGCTGCTAGTGAGTTGTACTTTGGTAGCCCCCGATTCCGCGCTATTGTTTGCTGCCACACCCTGCAGATTGGTCAGGTGGGGGGTGGGGGGTGGGGTTGAGGGGGGGAGAGGGGAGAGGAAGGGAGCAGAGCTCTTGGTAAGCAGGAGCTGCTGCAAGTAAACTGTGCTTTGGTAGCCCCCAATTCCGCGCCATTGTTTGCTGCCACACCCTACACGTCGATTAGGAGGGGGAGATAAGGTAAAGGGGGGGGGGAGAGAGGACACCAGGTTCAGCAGATCTATCTGCACACAAAGAGCCTGCTGCAGTGCGTCCAGCTGCCGCTCCAACTGCCAGGCAACCCTCTCACTCACCTGTCAGAATATGGTGGTTGTCTAACTTGCAGTGGGGTACTCCATAGCGAGTAGTGCCCTTCTAGGGTTTGCTATATGTATCCCTATGCTTGTTAGTGAAAACCCATCTTTGCCTGTTTCTAGCTTTTGCCTAGATTTCTGACATGGTATCAGAGCAGGTCGACCCTCCTGGGTCGATCCTGTGGGTGGTCCCACCCGTTAGCTTCCGCTGCTACTCTGTGGGTCGCGCGCCCCGTGGTGCGCGACGGATTTTTTCTTCCCGCCGTGCGCCCCACGGCGCGCGGCGGTTTTCCCCCGTCGAACCGCCCCCCGTTGCCCGTCGAAGAGCCCTGGGCCCCGCGCGGGCCGCGCGCGGCCCGTACGACCTGCGCCAGGCCCGCGCGCAGCCCGTGCGCTCTGCGCCAGGCCCGCGCGCGGCCCGTCCAGCCCGCGCGCGGATGCGCCAGGCCCGCGCGCGGCCCGGGCAGCCTGCCCCGGAGCCGCGCGCCGTTCCCCGAGCTGCTGCCCGCTGTGTCCCCCGCTGCTGCCCGCGCTTCTGCCTGTATTAGGGTTTGGGGTGGCGAGTGTGGGGGTGGCGAGTATGGGGGTGACGAGTGGGTGAGTGCGCCATCCGTCCCCTGCTCCTCCTCCTCCTCCATCTCCCACTGCTGCAGCTGCCGCTCAGGGGGGTGGATGTGTTGGAGCCGTCAAAAGGGGGGTGGCGAGTGAGCGGTGCTAGAGGTTCAGCAGGAGGTGTGTGAAATGGGTGTGGGACAGCTGGGGAAGTTGTGTGGATGCAGCCGTCTTGTCGTCCGCAGCGCCTGTAGTCCAGAGAGCCAGCTGCGTCTGTGGCCTGAGTAGTCCGGGGCTCTGCGCCTGGTAGCCACAGTGTGAGCACTCCTGGTAGTCCAGAGAGCCAGCTGCGTCTGTGGCCTGAGTAGTCCGGGTATAGCCTGGTAGCTACAGTGTGAGCACTCCTGGGAGCACAGAGAGCCAGCTGCGCCTGTCGCCTGAGTAGTCCGGGTTTAGCCTGGTAGCGACAGTGCTGCGCACTCCTGTTGCCCGTGTGTCTGCAGCTTCAGCCGTCGCCTCCCATCTTCTTGCTCCCACAGTTTCTCCTCCTCCTCACTTGCCCTCTGTGATAGCCTCTAGCTTTGCTTGTATTTGTGAACCTACTGCTCTGCCTGCTTGTTGTATTGATTGTACCCCACTTTGACTATGGGGGTGTGTCACAATGTGGTGGTTGTCTAGCCTGCAGTGGGGTACTCCATAGCGAGTACAACCCTTCTAGGGTTTGCTATATGTATCCCTATGCTTGTTAGTGAAAACCCCTGTTTGCCTGTTTCTAGCCTTTGCCTAGATTTCTGACATCACCCGCACGCCCTGTCACCCCAACACGCACCTCCAGTCCTCCACTGTATCCTTGGGGCGGGGTCTAGCTTCAGCAGCTCTACCTGCACTCCTAGGGACTGCTGCAACGCGTCCAGATCCCGCTCCAACTGCCAGGCAACCGACGCACTCATGCAGTCTCACCCACCCACCCATGCCTTACTTCACCCCCCCCAGCTCACCTCCAGTCCTCCACCATATCCTTGGGGTCCAGATTCAGCAGCTCTATCTGCACGCCCAGCGACTGCTGCAGTGCGTCCAGCTGCTGCTCCAACTGCCGTGTGGGCAGGCGGATGGGCATGGCGATGACCCCCTCCATTAGGAACAGCATGGTGCCTCCGAATGGCGCCTGCAAGGGGGAATGGGACATGGGAAGGGGAGAGACAGGGGTTTCACACAGCGAGAGGCAGGCGGATGGGCATGGCGATGACTCCATCCATTAGGAACAGTATGGTGCCTCAGAATGGCGCCTGCGTGGGACGGAGGGGGAGCGCATGGTATTGAGGCACGGTTGGCTGGGCAGGCGGATGGGCATGGCAATTACTCCCTCCATCAGGAACAGAATGGTGCCTCCGAATGGCGCCACAGGGGAATGGAAAGAGGAGAGACAGGGGGGATGGCAGGAGAAATGGCAGAAAGCATGGCAGGACGAAAGGCAGAGTGCACGGCAGGGATTGCACAGGTGAGAAGCAGTGCAGAAAGATACTGAATCACATTGTCCACGAGCCTTGGATTGCACATGTCGCTTTTGAGAATTCTCAAAAGCAACTGAATCACAGTGTCCACCAACCTTGGATTGTACATGTCGCTTTTGAGAATTCTCAAAAGCAACTGAATCACAGTGTCCACCAACCTTGGATTGTACATGTCGCTTTTGAGAATTCTCAAAAGCAACTGAATCACAGTGTCCACCAACCTTGGATTGTACATGTCGCTTTTGAGAATTCTAAAAAACAACTGGATCACATTGTCCACGAGCCTTGGATTGTACATGTCCATTCTGCTGCAGCCACACACCCATACCTCCTCTGTGACTAACCACCCACTCCAGCATTCCCTCACCTCCTCTGTAAATGTCTCCAGGTTCTCAATGTTGATGTTTTTGGACGACATGTACTCAGTCACGTTGATGAGCCTATTTTTGAGTCAGCTCAAAAAAAAGGAAGACAGGTACTCAGTCACGTTGTACACCAACCCGGGGTTGTCGGCACCTCGCAGCATCAGCCGACGGAACTTGCGGTTTCGGTGCCTTCTCCTCACTGCGCTCGTCCACTGTCCACCGCGTGCTCACCTCGGCATAGGTAGGTTTGAGTGGGTGAGGGTAGGTTTGAGTGGGTGATGGTACACACATGGTCAAACACCTCTCATATATTTTCCTCACTGCGCTCGTCCACCGCCCAACGCATGCTTCGTTGAAAGCGGGTGTGTGTGGGTATGGGCGGCGTTCAACTGGTGTGGGTATGTGTGTGGGTGTGGGTGTGGGTGTGGGTGTGGGTGTGGGTGTGGGTGTGGGTGTGGGTGTGGTTAAGGTTGATTGAATGTGGTCAAACCACCCAAGGACTGGTGGTTCAAACCCCTCTCCCCCTTCCCCTCACTGCACTCGTCTACCATTCGTTGTGTGCTCACCTGCACACGCTGGGTAGGGTGTAGTATGCGGTGGGACTTGGGCTGGGAGTTGGGTTGAGAGCTGGGATGCAGGTTGGGTAGTGGATTAGAGTGTGGCTTTGGGTCAGAGTTCGGTTGGGCTGGATGATAGTAGGTTTGGTTCGTTGCACTTTTCACCAGCACCCCTCCCTCTCACCTGTAACCCCCCACTCGCACCCGCCCCCCTCCCTCTCACCGTCACCCTTCTTTCTCCCTCTCATCTGGACCCCTACCTCGCCCTCTCACCCGCACCCTCCTCCCTGCCCGCACCTGCACTCCTCCCGCTCCCTCTCTCCTAACTCCTCCCCACCCCTCTCCACCTCTCCCTCTCACCTGCAGACCTTGAACTTCCAGCAGCTTTACGCGAAGGTCCTCCGCTATCCGAGGAGACCTGAGGATGAATGGGATGGAGGCCAGGCAGACGACGGACCAGCTTGAGAGCACGAAAGAGAAAGAGGGCGAGCATGTGGTGTCAGAAGTCTAGGCAGGAATGAATGAACTAGAGGCATGATGGGTACAAGTAGGAAACCCTAATCTGGGTTGTACCCCATATGGGCTACCCCACTACAGCCTACACAATAAGCAGCATATATGTTTGACACATCCCCATAGGCAAAGTGGGGGAGAACAAGAGGTCACAGGACCAGTCAAGAAAGGCAAAGCAAGCTCAGGGTGGATCACAAAGTCACCACGCATTCTGAGCTTAAGCAAAGGGCCACACGGCCAGTTCACATGCAGAGGTATATATGCAACAACACAGTACAGTGATCACTACCTAGCAAGAGCAAGCATGCAGGTATATATACATAGATCATAGTGCAAGCAAAGCCTACAGCAAGTGAGGAAACGTAGGCACGAGGCCCAACAAAGTACAAAAGCGCTGATGATCACCAGGCGGAAGTGCCTTGGTGAATATATCAGCAGTGTTGGCCCTGGTGGCCACGTGAGCAAGACGAAGCTGACCACGCTGCTGCAACTCTCGAGCCAGAAAGTAACGCAGAGCGATGTGCTTCGTTCTGTGCTCCAGTCTGTGCTCCTCACACAAGGCAATGGCGGCCTTGTTGTTGACGTACAGAACTGGAGGAGAACGAGGCCTCTCTCCCAAGTCGGTCAGCAGGTAGGTGAGCCAGCGCAACTCCTGAGCAGCCATGGCTGTGGCGTAGATCTCAGCCTCACAACTGGAGCTGAGAACAGAAGACGAGCGAGTAGAACGCCAAGAAACAGAGCCAGAGCCAAGGCTGAAGGTGTAACCCTGAGACGACCGCTGCGTAGCTTGGTCGTCAACCCAAGAAGCGTCTGAGTGCCCAGTGAGGACAACGTCGCTCCGTCCTCCAAGCACGAGCCCCATGCCCGATGTACTGCACAAGTAGCGCAGTACCCTCTTTGCAACATCCATGTGCACCTTTCGGTGCCGACCAGGAGCCACGTAGCGAGCCAAAAGGCCAAGAGGGTACGCAAGGTCAGGTCGAGTGCAGGTCATCAGGTACATGAGGCAGCCCACTAGCTCTGGGTAAGGACCACTCGACTCTACGGACTCGTCCGAAGGTGGAGCTGAGAGTGAGTGACCTGTAGCAAGAGGAGTGGACTGTGCGGAGGACCAGGTGAAGCCGAAGCGCTGAAGGACCTGCTGCACCATGTGTGACTGAGTCAGTGTGATGGTGCGGCGTGCTCTGTCCCGGGTGATCTGCAAGCCAAGGTAACTGCGCAGCTCACCCAGGTCAGTGCACGTGTGTCTCTTCTGCAGCTCCGACTTCACCAGAGCGAGAGCCTCAGTGTCAGCAGTAGCAAAGACCAAGTCGTCGACGTACACGAGGATGTAGAACGGCGGCAGTGAAGTGTCGGTGCGCAGAAACAGCGACGGGTCAGCAGTCGAAGGAGCGAACCCAAGAGCCGCAAGTGTAGTCCTCAGTGTGTCGTGCCACTCACGAGGTGCCTGGCGGAGACCGTAGACTGGCCGCCGGAGGCTCCACTGGGTACCAGGAGGGAACGACCCAATGAAGCCAGGTGGGCGGCACAGCCAGATCTCCTCGTGCAGGCTGCCCTGTAGGAAGGCTGTGCTGAAGTCAAGAGAGTGAAGCTCGTAGTTACGCTGAGCGGCAACGTGCAGCAGCACCCAAAGAGTGGTCATCTTCGGGGTAGGGGAGAAGGTTTGGAAGAAGTCAACTCCCTCACGCTGACTGAAGCCTCTAGCAACGTAACGAGCCTTGAAGACACTGAGGCTGGAGACCCTAGGACTGGAGGTGTCGGTTCTGGGGGTGCTGCTGCTGGAGACACTGAGGCTGGCGACCCTAGGACCCTAAGAAACCCTAATCTGGGTTGTACCCCATATGGGCTACCCCACTACAGCCTACACAATAAGTAGCATATATGTTTGACACGTGGGGCGACGACACATTTTTTTTGGGGGGGCGAAATGAGGCGCTCGAATGGGGGGGTTGGGTCGCAAGACGCACACAAGGTATTCAACCCAGTTAAAGGCATTCAAACCCGCCAACACACGTAGCGCACTGACATGGCGTCGACGCGGATGAGCATGATGATGGAGAAGTCGCCCGCCATGCGGCTCTCCTCCACGTTCCCGCCGCACTCGAGGATCCACTTCGCCAGCGTCGACACGATTCCAAGCCTGTCCGGCCCGACGCCGTCACCACCAAGTGCTGCTCGGGGGGCGCACCTGAGGGGGGAATTGAAGAAGAGTGCGGGAAGGGGGGGGGGGGGGGTGGGGGGGGGGGGGGGGGGGCGGCGGGGGGAAGCAATGGGCGGCAATGGGCAGCACAGGCACGGGCAGCAACGGGCGGCAACGGGCAGCACAGGCACGGGCAGCAACGGGCGGCAACGGGCAGCACAGGCACGGGCAGCATCGGGCGGCAACGGGCAGCACAGGCACGGGCAGCAACGGGCGGCAACGGGCAGCACAGGCACGGGCAGCAACGGGCGGCAACGGGCAGCACAGAGGCGGCTGCACCGCGTCCAGGAGCGGCGTCGCATGCAGCTGCAGGGTCGGCGCCGCGGGGTCCAGGGGCGGCTGCTCCAGGGGCCAGGGGCGGCTGCAGAGGTCCAGGGGCGGCTGCACCAGGGGCGGCTGCTCCAGGGGCGGCTGCTCCAGGGGCCAGGGGCGGCTGCTCTGGGTCCAGGGGCGGCTGCTCCAGGGGCGGCGTCGTTGGTGCAGGGCAGGCCCGCGCACGGCTGCAAAGCAGGCGCGGGTGCAGGTGAGGCAGAGGCGGCGGCCAGGGGGGGGGGGGGGGGGGGGGGGGGGGGGGGGGGGGGGGGGCGCGACGAGCAGGGACGGCACCCAGGGGGCGCCGCGACGAGCAGGGGCAACGCCCCAGGGGCGCCGCGACGAGCAGGGGCGGCGTTCAGGGGGCGCCGCGACGAGCAGGGGCGACGCCGCGCGGGTCCCGCAGGGGCGTCGCGACGAGCAGGGCGACGCCGCGCGGGTCCCGCAGGGGCGTCGCGACGAGCAGGAGCGGCGACGCACGGGTCCCGCAGGGGCTTCGCGACGAGCAGGAGCGGCAACTCGCAGGGCGCCGCGACGGGCAGGGTACGGGCGGGGAACAGGCCCGCGCGGGACGTGGGGCAGGTGGCGTGAGGGCAGGCCGCGCTCGGGGCAGGACGACGCCGCGCGCCTCGGGGCGCACGGCGGGCAGAAAACCACCGCGCGCCCAAGGCGCACGGCGAGGAAAATACGCCGCGCGCCCGAGGCGCGCGACAGGACGATAGGCAGCGGAAGCAGACTGGTGGGCCCGTTAAGGAAGGCAGCAGGAAGGTGCGTGCTCTGAATACCATGTTAAATAGAAGGAGTAGGGCCTAGGCTTAGTAGCCTAGGCCAACGGGAGTCGAGAAAATTGTTGCAAGGAGAAGGGGTTGAACTAGCAAGCAGGTGGATACACATAGGAAACCCTAAGGGGACGTACTCACTATAGAGTACCCCACTGCAGGCTAGACAAACTACACATTCTGACACACCAAGTGCCGATCGGGGGACGCCTTAAATATAACACCTTGCTACCCACTCTTTCAAAACGAGGGTGTTACTTGGCGCAGTGAAATGCCCTTAACACAGCACATAAGCGTTACAGGGCACGCCTGGAGAAGGGAGGAGGGACGAAGGAGCGGGGGTGGGGGAGACGCGAGAGAAGGGGGGGTCGCAGGGGAAGGGAGGAAAGGGAGTGCGGATGAGGGGAAATATCACTAGACCCATAGCCTCCAATCTGCAGTCTTTGTGAGAAGTTGGCACTTAATGGAAGGCGGCCTTCTCGTCTACGTCATTCCCTTCACAAGCCGTCCCGCTTCGTCCTTCGGTTACTGCGACGGTAAACTTTCGTTGTAACACCGGCCATCCCTGTTTGTTCATTCCCGTAACTGAATTCAGTCAACGAGGATATCCATTACGTGTCGCCACTCACCAGTGCCCTTGGATCGACTCGCTATGTCTTGCCAGAATGGGTCGCTATTAGAGCATGATATTTCATGCCGATGCGGTCTAGTGGAACTTGGTCTTAGGGAGGATGAAGACCCGGGATCAAGTTCTGTAGCCGGTCAGTTTTATTCAGAACTTCAGTAGAAACACTTCATCAGGGTTCTGAAAATTGTTACACTGTGGCCTAAGGGTAAATTTCTTGAAACTATGGAAAACCCTGATGGAAAAGAATTCTCCAAAGGGGTCACACTGATAATCAGGGTTTTGCGAAGGTGCAGGACTGATGATAAGGGTTGCTTAAAACAAAAAATTAGCCCTGAGTGTGACTGTTGAAGCTTGAGTCAACTCCACTTTTGAGCCAGCACAAGGATCCATGTGGCGATCCTGAACGCTGGTCACCACATGCGATGCAAACCATCTACAAGAACTCGAACAGAACTGTATCCAGGACTCAAGTACTGCAACAGAATACTGTTACAAGCAAGGGGCCACTCTGATCAGTGCTGCCCTGCCAGGTGGGTTTCTTCACCGAGGTCTGGTATGCATAAAAGGGGTGCAGCGCATGTGATGTGACGTTCATATGGCGACGATGCACATAGTGTACACCGCTGTGCCTCTAATGAAATTTGAGATGAAGAATTCGGCAGGCACTCAACGACGGTGTGACTGTTGAAGCTTGAGTCAAGTCCACTTTTGAGCCAGCACAAGGATCCACGTGGCGATCCTGAACACTGGTCATCACATGCGATGCAAACCATCTAAAAGAACTCAAACAGAACTGTATCCAGGACTCAAGTACTGCAACAGAATAGTGGATACTGTAACAAGCAAGGGGCCACTCTGATCCGTGCTGCCAGCACTGCGATTCCATCATCCTTAGCACAGGTGTGATGTGGTAGAAATAGACACCAGTTGTCAACAAGTGGTGGTGCCATGTCCGACCCAGACCCAGTGCTTTCAAAAATGGTGGAACAAAGGCACTGGTGGAACGAAGGCACTCTAACGCTTCACTTCGCAACTGATTCGTCTGCCTTGACTCTCAAATTTCTCAGAAACAACCGAGGCTGCTGCTCCTTCTTGCAGCTTTCTTCCAACTGCTTCCCAGCAACCTCCTCCCTCCAACTCCCTCCTACTGCTTCCTCTGCCTTTTGAACCGCTCCAGTGCTCCCAGCACCGCCTCCTTCCCTTCCTGCTCCCCGCCCTTCTCCGCAGCCTCCCTCTCTCTCTTCGCCATCTCCTCAGCCTTCCCAGCCAAAGCTCCAAACACCCCGGCAGGCACCGACACCTGCGTCACCCCCACCTTGCTCCTCCCCTTACCCTCCCCTCCCTCTCCCTCCCCCTCCTCCTCCTCCTCCTCCTCCTCCTCATCAGCCAACTCAATCTCCTCCGGGTTCGCCTGTTGGGATTTCACCCCTGCTCCTGTCTCCTGCTCTTGAACCGTCCCCCCACTCACAAACATGGGCACGCGCGGTTTCGCCGCCCCCTCCCCTGCTCCTCCCACTCCTCCTGCTGCTTTCCCGGCAGCCGCCTGTTCTAGAGCTTCCATGCTATCCATTCCCCCACCAGCAGCACCAGCAGCACCTGGGGCGTCAAGTAAGCCTTCCCCAGGTGCGCCCTCCCTGCCCCGGCCAGTATCAGCTTCCCGAGGCACGGACGGGATTGACTTCATGAGGTATTCGGGAAGAATGAAATGCATCTGTGGGCGTGGAGAGGGGTGAGAAGTGGTAGGGATGAGATGAGGGGGGCAAGGACAAGACACCCTGCAGTCATCATGGAAAGTGTCCTCATTCCTGTGCGTAAATCTCAAACGCGTACCACGCCTCCCAGAACCCCCCATCAGACCGCGAGTCTGCAGCACTCCATAAACCTGGAAGGACCTACCTGGATGTAAAACACCCATCTATCTCTCCAACCCACCTGGCTGTAGCTAGCCGAAACAGAGCGCTTAATCCTGAGCATGTCACAAAAAGTGTCTTCATTCCCATGCGCAATCTCAAACGCGTTCCACGCCTCCCAGAACTCCCCGTCGGCACCTACGTTTCCAGCATTCTCAAAACCCAACAACCCACCCCCGTCTGTAGCACTCACCTGGCTGTAGCTAGCAGAAACAGATCGCTTGATCCTGAGCATATCCCGGAACGTGTCCTCATTCCCATGTGCGATCTCAAACGCGTTCCACGCCTCCCAGAACTCCCCGTCAGATCGCGGGTCCGCCAGCTGGCTGGCGTGCACAAAGATGGCTCGCGCGCGGTCGATCTCCCCCAGCCGCCTCTCCAACGCCGCGTACCGCAGGCACATGCGCTTCACATCCGCGTCTGGTAGACCAGACTCGATGGCCCTCTGCAGGGAGAGGGAGGGGGCATGAAAGAATATCGAATGTGAGGAAATATTCCCCCAGCCGCCGCTCCAGCACCACGTATCGCAGGCACATGCACTTCACGTCCACGTCTGGTAGACCTGACTTGATGGCTCTCTGGCAGTGGGAGGCAGTGTAGAGAGATGGTAGAGAAGGGGAGGAGGGGAAGCAGGGGGGGCGCAGGGATGAGGGTGAGGGGGGAAAGTAAGGGGGCGCAAAAGAGGTAAGGGAGGAGTGCATTGCATCAGTAACTGGGGTGGTAAGGAGGTAAGGTGGGAGTGCATTGCAGGGACATACATTAGAAATTGGGGTGTAAGAGGGAAGAGGGGGGTTAATGAGGACAGTAACTGCAATCCAATCCACCACTTCCAACCCTGCCGAGACACCTGGCTCACCTCGTAGATATCTCGTCTCTTGGTTGACTTTTGAGTCAAATCAGCTGAGTTGACTTTTCAGTCGACTCAAAAGACACCCCACCCACCTCGTAGATATCCCGTGTCTTGGCCACCCCAAACAGCTCAGCGGCCCGTGCAATGAACAGCTCATACACGCCCATCCGCTGCTCCTCCGGCACTGCCTGTGCTGCACGCTCATACACAGCCATGGCGTGCCGTGCCAGCCCATACTCCTCCTCCAGTTTTGCATATGCTAAGTAGAGTGGCTTGCAGTCCGTTGCTGGGGCCTGGTGGAAAAAAAGGATTGGGTTAATGGAGAATGGGAATGGAAGTTGGTGACTATAGTAACTGCTGCTGTCTAAGAACCGGAGCTCGCAGTCCTTAACATGGAAAGGGAACAGAGAAGAGTAAGCGGTGTAGATTGAGGAGGAACAGTCTAGATGAAGCTTGATCCGGGAGTGAATCCTCTAGTCTTCTCAAACCGAGCCCGTGCTTTCTGAGATCTCTATTCCCCACCTCACTATCAACACCCATCATGCCATCAACACTACATCTGGCCATCAACACCCCATTCCACTCACACTCTCGAGTGCCTGTTCGAACAAGTCTCGGGCCCTCTCCAGCTTCTTCCCTCCATAGCGCTGCACGAACTTGGAGAGGTAGGTGGTCCAGATGTCGCGCACGTGCGGGTACTTGAAGATATTTACTCCCCGCTCGTACACCTTGAAGCTGTCCTCAAAGTACTTGTGCTCCTGCATTGGTGAGAAGCGAAGGGGGGTGGACACAGGGTGAAAAAAGGAGGACAGGCGGCAGATGACCACAGATGTTCACCCCGCGCTCGTACACCTTGAACCTGTCCTCGAAATACTTGTGCTCCTGGATTGTTCTGGAACAATAGGGGTGGAAAATGGGTGAGAAAAAGGCACGAGAATCAGTGGCTTTACGGAAACTGGGCGCAAAACTGCTCGTTCTACACCGTGAAGCTCGTCATTTGGGGGCAAAAGTCACCATTCTAAATCGTGTGCAGCAAAAGCAGGATGACTTTCATTGCGTGTATGCGCATCAAAGAGCGCATCAAAGATCAAGTGTGTAGCAGGCTAGCAGCCCACCTGCAGCAGCAGACTCTAGAGTCAACTAAAAAACATCTCACCTCGAGCATGAGTGCATAGTTTACGATGATCTGAGGCGTGGCAATCTTGAGGTCGATGATGCGATCGTACACCGCCCTTGTCCAATCCAGGGCCACAATACCCAGGCTTCCCCCATTGCGCATATACAGTGTCCACCGCCTCTGGCCCATCCTTTTACCCACCCAATCCCCACCCTCTCCCCCCCCTCACCTCGAGCATGAGCGCGTAGTTGATGATGATCTGAGGCGTGGCGATCTTGAGGTCGATGATGCGGTCGTACACCGCCCTTGTTGTCTCCAGCGTGCCCAGGCTCTCCTCCAGGTCCACGTACAGCGTCCACACCTTGAGGCTGCGATACACCTTCAGCTGCGGCCGCTCGTCGCCTTCTGCTGCCGCTGCTCGCTCAACAACAAGGAACGAAATAAGGGAGAGTCAACAAGTTAGAGATTTCCTCCTCAGGCTCTCCTCCAGGTCCACGTACAACGTCCACCTTGAGGCTGCGATACACCTTCAGCTGCGGCCGCTCGTCCCCCTCTGCAGCAGCTGTTGTTTGTAAAAAACGGGACCAGAAAAAGGGTAACCCAATGTGTTAAGAGCTTCCACGCTTGTAGTCAGTCAGAGGCACGCAGTAGCAAAGGATAAGCTAAGGTGCCAAGGGGCTCAACACTCGTTTCATATATAAGTCCCCCCATCCCCCCCCTCCGCGCTCATCTTGCTGCAGCACAGCCACTGATGGCTGCAGCGTTGCCCGCCCGCCCCCCCAGCCCCAGTCCCCCATTCCCCATCTTCGTCCCCCCAGCACCCCCACCCACCCAAACAGTCTCACTAGCCAACCCCCCACCAGCGCTCACCTTGCCGCAGCACGGCCACTGACGGCTGCAGCGTTGCTCGCCTCAGCAGCTCCCTCGCCCCGTGGAAGTTATGATGCCGCACCTCCATCTCCGCCCACTCACACCACACCGCCGCAACGTCCTCCACCGCTTTCAACCGCGCCTGAACCGCCCGCTCAAGCACCCGCCTCGCATTCCCCAAATCCCCGTGTTTCTCATACAGCTTCGCAAACGCCACCCAGAGCGTATGAGGCTTCCCAACCGCCTGAAACGGATCAACGGTCTTCACAGCCTCGGTGTAGGTGAGAATCTGACGCTCAGGATTGTTTTGGAAGAGCTTGGCGCGCTTATGCCACTCGTGCACGTTGTGGGGGTTCTGGCGGAGCAGGACTGCAGAGACGAGCTCTGGGCGGCGGTCCATGAGGGCTTCTAAGCGCGCCAAGCGCAGATCCGCGTCTGCTGTTCGGAACATCCAGTCTAATGGCTTCTTTTTCTGCTGCTTCTTTTGCTTCGAAGCTGCTGCGTTGGCTCTTAGCGCGTCTTCCTGCTGCTGTTGCTGCTGATGGAGTTGCTGCAGCTTCAGCAGTTGCTGTTTTGTCACTTTTTTTCCTTTGAGCTGCCCCTCCTTGTCAGCTTGATCCTCTGCCGGCTGCTGCTCCTGCCCGTCCTCCTCCCTCCTCGCCCCTTCCTCTGCTCCTGCCCCCGCTTCCCCAGCTTCTTCCCCTTCCCCCAATCCCTCCTCTTCCTCTTCCCACCATTCCCTTTCATCCTCCACATCCTCTCCCTCGCCCTCCTCAGCCTCCTCCTCCTCCTCTCCAGCAGTGAGCTCTAGTTTAGCGGCCAGCATACTCTCCTCGAACTGCGCTAAAGCGTCGAACACCACGCTGAAATCGCGCACCGTCATCACGCTAGTTAATCCGTCCTCGTACACGTCTCTGGCGCGCTCGAACAGCCCTCGCCGGATGTAATAATCCGCTAATGACGTCCATAATCGCCCTACTTCGTGCGAAAACCGCCGAATCCCGCTCCGCAGAATCGCATCCACTTTTAGGGTTCCGCTTCCGCCGATCCCCCCTCCGCCTCCGCTTCCGCTTCCGACTGCTCCGCCTCCCCCCGCGCCCCCCGCGTCCCCATGCATCACCTCCGCGTGCCGCGTCAGCAGATCGCACAGCTGCAGCCACAACTGGTGCCGCGTTCTCCCGCGCACCGACACGAATTTCTCGTCGTTTAGAGCCGACGCGAGCCGCTCCGCCGCTTCGCGCCATTCCTGCGCCTCGACTAGAAACTCCACGTACTCCTCCACGCGCAACGGATCGAACCGCAAAAACCGGCGGAAAACCCGGCGCGCGGTCTCGACGGGTATGCCAGGCTGGCGGACGAATCTAAGATACGGATGCCAGAGTCTATCGTGCTGCGTCGCGGGCAGGGATCGGAGCGCGCGATCGAACGTGCGACGCGCGCGCGTTACTAGCTTCTGATCGTCTACCAACGCTGATAGGTACTCGAGCCAAATGCGCGGCATGCGGTGCATCGTAACTAAAGCGCGCTCGAAGGCATTGTTTAAAGCGGCGTGCGCAGCGTGATTCGCGGGAAGCCCGCGGACCGCCGCGCGGCGTTCCTTAAGGTACGCCGCCCATAGCTTGTAGGAACCCGGGAGAGCTACTAACGCGCGCTCGTATATCAAGTACCGCTTCCGCGCGGGCGAATCGCGCCGCGCCGCGAGATACCGCCACCAGAGTTTAAGAGAAAAGGGGTTTCTAAGAATCTCCTCCTCGTAGAGAAGATCGTCTTCGGACGGGAGTAGCCCTTGCGGTAGGGACGACATGGCGGCGGACGGCGGGAAAACAGGAGGACGCGGGGTTGGGGGAGAACCAGGCGGAACCGGGGTTCGGGGAACAACCGGCGGTAGCGGGGTTGGGGGAAAAACCGGCGGAAGCGGAGATCAAGGACTGTGGAAGATCTGCATTGACGGTACGGTACGGTACGGTATGGCGGCAGGACGTGACAGTCCGGATCCCGCCGGGTCCTCAGGATTCGTGACTCAGAGGAATGGGATGAATTTACGGAAAAGTCGAGGCAAATGGCCGCGGGAATGGACTAGCGGAAGGGTTAGGAGATCAAGAGGTTAGACGCATTCTGAAAAGTCTGCAAGTTTCCCACTTAAGTAGCAATTCAGCGAGGTTACATAAAGAGCGAGAATTCCCCAAATACGCTTGCAATAAGACGCGAAATTACCTCTAAAACCACAAGTACGACACTATCTAGGTGACCTAGTCTCCTAATCTGCTACCTCTCCTCGCGTCCAAATTCTGCTGGTTGGATTAGTGAGGTGGTCTCTAGCTCGGGAAATTGAAGTGATTGCGAGGAAGAACACGAGAATCCGCGTTAAAAGAGCACTTGCTGAGAAATTATTGTACTTCATGCAAACATTCGAAGGGCAGAAACAGTAAGACATCTGAAACTTCAACTTGTGCAATAGCTGTAAGGACTACATTTGTTGTCACCTATTGTTACTGTAGCGAATGTATACAGTCCAAACCAAAGAGACCCCAATGCCTAATGCTCCTACCGCAATACCAGCAAGCAACAATCTGTCAACCAACTCCACACCCATTCCTGCACCTCTCCCAACTGCTGCTGTGGAGTGCACTTCTCCTACCCCAGCTGCTGCCAAAACACCACTGCAGGACGAGCTTCCCATGTTGCAGCACTTGTCCTCTTCTGCAGAAACAGCAGCAGGATTATCACCAGAGCAAGCACAAGCTCCCTGACTCCCTCCACCACAGCACTCATCTGACGCTTTACCCATTCCTGGTTCCTGACACTCCTGCTGCTGCTTCTGCAGCAATGGTGACAATGGTGACAACTCAGTCCCAACCTGCTGCTGCTCCTTACCCTGCTGGGCCTTGTTAGGGATGTCTGAGCTCCCTACGGCAATAGGCAGGTATTTCTGTGGCGCAGACACCGGCACACCGATCACAGACCACCGCCCGACTGTGGTGATGCGGACAAACAAGTCCGACCCTAAAAGCGCACTCTTGCCACCATTGGTCGGCTCATTCGCTTTTGCTGCCCGCCCATTGGCTGCCGACATTTGCCCCAGGGCTTTCACATCTTGATCCACAACGTCACAAGACGACACATTGATTGCTGACGTATCATCTGGTAGCTTGCCACCAGGCAGCTTATCCAATGCCACGTCATCAGGGGGTACTAGCACCTGGACGTAGCTATCCGTGTGGCCGACAAGCTTAGTCTTGTCTGCGGCAACATCGGTGATCCAGACCCTTTGGGTGGTTCCAAGAAGGTTCGTGTAGGGAGTGAAGGACTCTATGAGGGCGGTGAGTGCTCTGCTGCGCTGCTTCACCTCTGCTGATGGCACCTTGGGCATGCGCGCTGCTGGTGTGCCTGGGAGGGAGTAAACGAGTAGGGAACAGGTTGGGGTGGAAACAAGGGGTTTTTATTAGTGCACTTGTAACTGCGCTGCTTCACCTCTGCTGATGGCACCTTGGGCATGCACGCTGCAAATGTGCCTGTTAGCAGGTAGGTTATGGAAGGAGTATTGGATTGGAAGGAGCGTTGGGAATGGCAGGGCTTTGAAGTGGGCTTGTAGGAAAACGAAATCAAGGGCACACCAGGAGAGAGCATGCCTTGTTCAGATAACATTTAATTAAGAAACAGGTGGATGTATTGTTCAGAGTTCACATGTCTGCGCCCAGTATTCATTTTACACTGGCTTCTGTTTGCCAATCAGTCCATCTGAACCCAAAACAGTCGCATATCCACAAGGAGTGAATGCAGAGCTTGGCGCATCACTTGCCGGAGGTGCAGGCTCACCTGGGAAAGGCTACACCTGCAGGGCTCACTCACCTAGGGCAGGCTAAACCTGCAGAGGCGGGCTCACCTGGGCGCGGGTAGAACTGGGAGATGTGCACTTGAGCGAACTTGTACTTGCGAATCAAATCCATTGTCTGCTCAAAGTCAGCTGCTGTCTCGCCTGCCAAGTGGGGTGCGATGGAGTGGGGTGGGGTGGGAGACAGGTGGAGAGCGGTGGTGGGAAGTGTATATCAGACCCATGGCTTGCTCAAAGTCAGCTGCCATTTCCCCTGCTTTGCCATGGTGGGGTGGGGTGGAGTGGGGTGGGAGAGGGGTGGAGAGCAGTGAAGTGGGAGCTGTATCAGATCCATAGTCCGCTCCGCTCGAAAGCAGCTACCATCTCACTTGTCATGGGGGGTTGGCGTGCGCGGAAGAGTGCGGTGCAGAGGGAGATGTGGATCATATGCATGGTCTGCTCAAAGTCAGCTGCTGTCTCTCCTCCCATCATGCCATGGTGGGGTGGAGTGGGGTGAGGCGGGGTAGGGTGGGGCCGTAGAAAGGAGGATAAAATGCAGTGTGTGGTGAAGGTTCTGGATCGCATACCTGGGAAGCCACAGATGATGTCGGTTGCAATCTCCAAGCCAGGCACAAGGGACATAAGTGTGTCCACCACTCGGCAAAACTCCTCCACTGTATACTCCCTCCTCATGCCCTCCAGCACACTGTTGCTGCCCGACTGCACTCTGCTGCTTCCCAATGGGCCACTGCACTGTAACACACCTAGAGCAAGCAAACCCAGCATGTGCTGGTTAAGGCTCTCGACTATGTACCTGGGAAGCCACAGATAATGTCCGTTGCAATCTCCAAGCCAGGCACAAGGGACATAAGTGTGTCCACCACTCGGCAAAACTCCTCCACCGTATACTCCCTCCTCATGCCCTCCAGCACACTCTTGCTGCCCGACTGCACGGGCAGGTGCAGAAACTTGTACACGCAGGCGTGGTTGAGGATTTTTGCGATTTCGGGCAGATGTTCGAGAATGTAGGGCGGGTTGGTCATGCCGACTCGCAGCATGCAGCGGCCATCAGGGGGGAGGGAGGCAACGAGGGCGGAGAGGAGGGAGGGCAGGTCGCTGCCTATGTCACGGCCGTAGGCACCGGTGTCCTCGCTGCTCAGCCAGATTTCACGCACTCCCTCCGCTACTGCCGCCCGCACCCTGTCCACCTGGAGGTGGGCGAGGAAGAGAAAGCAAGCGGAGCTTTTACAGAAAGAGGCACTCACAAAAACACACAGAAAGAAGCTCTTATGGAGAGGATATAAGGTTTTAATATGCAGGAGATCCACATACCAGCACAGGCAGAGGGTAGGAGCCGAGATGGCCTCTGGCGTGTTTCGTCTTGCAGTAGGTGCACGCACCCAGGCAGCCCACGCTGATGGGCACAATCTCCACCCACTTGTTGCGCCGCACCTGGTGTTATGTGTGGGGTAAAGGTTGGGGGAGGACGAATGTTGAGGACTAGAGGTGACTCATAAGCTGCTGCATTACACAAACGGCAGCCCACGTTGATGGCACGATCACCCACCCACTTGTTGTGCCGCACCTGGTGGCGTGTGTGGGACAGGAGAAGGAAAGGAGAGGAGAAGGGTGCGTGGCCAACAGTTGAGGCGTCTCAGAAACTCTCCCACCACACCAGAGGGGAAAGACACGTTGAGATTGAAAACACCCTGGAGGGAACAAGCCGAACGCAGGGAGCGCCCGATTGCGGGAAAGCAGGCGGGTCCGACTTGGAGAGAGAGTAAGTGAAACAAAGTCTAGTTTACCTTGGGCAGGTCGAGTGCGGGTAGAGCCCGGTTGCGCGAGAGCAGGCGGATGGTGTTGCCCTTGAGCGTCTCCTCCACCACCTCCACCACTCGGTCGATCTGCTGCACCCCCACCACACTCACGCCCTCGCCCTCCGCCACCCCACTGTCGCCCTGACAGGGAGAGAGGGCAAGAGGCAGGGTCGGAGGCAGGGGAAGAGGGGTGGTGAAAGGGAGGAGGCAGGGAAAAAAGCAGGGGGCATGAAAAAGGTGTCACATCTACCACTTCCACGAAGCGGGTGATCTTTTGCACTCCCACCACACTCACGCCCTCGCCCTCCGCCACCCCACTGTCGCCCTGATATAAAGAAATATGCGGGTAGAGAGTGGGAAAGGCAGAATGAAGGGGAGGAGGAAGGAGAGGAAGAAGGAAATGCAAGGGAGGTTCAAAACAGAGACACCCTTTCATAATCCCTTTCATCCCGATCTGCTGCTCACCCGCCGCACTCACGCGCTCTCTCCCTCAGCCCAGGTACCCAGGGCGTTCCTACACACCTGAGGCCCGTGCTGTGCTGCTGTCTTGCTGCTCCATGCGCCGCTCCGCACACACGGGAGCGGAACAGAGCGTCATGAAATGGAATGGAACCGAATGGACGAGAGGACACACCTGGGGCACGCAGCCTGCAAGCACAAGTCTTTTGCTCAGCTCCCTGCCCTTGCGGATGAGCGTGTCCATGGCAGACTGTGATGGGTTCTTCACCGTACACCTGGTGGTGGGGTAGAGGTCATGAAGAGCAGGGGGGCCAAGTTGTTACATGTTCTTGAAGTGCCTCAACGGCAGGTCCCTGGCTTTGCAGATGAGTGTATCCAATGGCAGACTGTGATGGGTTCTTCACCGTGCACCTGGTGTGGGGGGGAAAGGAGGGGGTTGGTCGGGAAATAAGAGGGGTCAAGGAGTTGATACAAGGGGGCCTCGAGGCGGAAGGACCAAGCGAAGGATGTCAAGGGCAATAGGTGCATCAAAAGCGGGTCCCTGCTCTTGCAGACGAGCGTGTCCATGGCAGACTGTGACGGGTTCTTTACAGATTGGCACATGGTGGTGGGCAAGGCAGGGCAGGGACAAGAGGGAGGGGAGAATGAAGGTCATGTTATGAGACGGGCACGCAGGTGCTTATGAAGGCAACTTCACCAGGAGGTACACAAAAGCCCTTGCTTCCGAGCCACCCGCCCGACTCGCACTCACGTGTTGATGATCCACAGGTCTGCCTCAGATGGCACCTCTACCAGTTGGTACCCAAACGCCGCCAGTTGTCCTGCCATGTACTCACTGTCACTCTGCCATTATGGTAGGGGAGGCATATGGGAGAGATAGGAAAGTAGGAGAGGAGGGGGAGAGATAAGGAAGGAGAGGAGGGGGAAGATAAGATGAGGGAGGAGAGGAGGGGAAGGATATGATGCGGAGGAGAGGAGGGGGAAGGAGAGGAGGCGGGTGGTGGAAAAGAGATTCCAAATTTTTTTCCCAGGAACGAAACAGGTGTTGCCAGCAAACTAGCCATGTACACATTGCCTCCCTGCCAGCCAGAGCGGAGGAAGTCGGGTGAAAGAATTCCGATAAGGTCCAAGGTTTGAAATTTAAGGCAACGGCAGAGGCAATTTTGTTTCAGCCGGCAACGACCAAATCTGCAGTTGTCTAGAAATCCATGTGCTGTGCCCCATCGCATCCGCATATGGTGCCAAGAAACTCTTCTGCATGATATAAGAAGCCTTTATAAACAATATCACAAACCCCTTGTAAGGGTTTAAGAGAGGTACCTGGTTATGGGAGCAGCCAAACGTCTTGATGTATATGGACTGCAGGCGAGGGAGAAAGGGGAGAGCAAGGGCCAAGCAGGAACTTATTAGAACGAGAAGCCGCACAATTGGGTGGGTAAAACGGGCGGAGAAGTTTCAAAAGCAAGCACAAAAAGAGCGCCCACTCACACCTAACATGGAAGATATGCACATTTACCAGAAAAGTTGTAAGGGACTGCTAAAAAAACCTATAAACAGACACAACCTCCCCTCCCTCTCATCCCCCACCAAAAGCAGGATGACAGGCTGACTTACTGTAGAGAAACGAGAGATTCATGTTTACCTGAACACACAAGTTTTTCTAAACTGCAATCATGAATACTGACTGAAATCAATCAATGGATAATGACCGAATTTCATCCCCGTTATAAGCATACCTGCGTTCCAGGAACAGAAGCCGGCGCACCCTCATCCTCGCGATGAATCCCATCACCATGCTCAGCCAACGCATTCGCTGCGCCATCCCCGATACGAGCAGTTTCGCTGACAGCTTCTGACTTCGAAATCCTCATTTCGCTGTCCACAACCTCGCCTGCCTGCTTCAACCCATTTTCAGTGGCACCGTTACCGTTATCGCTACTGTTACCGTCAATGCGAACTGCGGATGACTTCTTCGGCCGTCGCCTAACAGCAGGCCGGCCGCCTCCTACTTCAGGAAGGGGTGCTTGGGAATCAACGGTTGAGATCTCTCCACTCAAGTCGTTTACGGCGCTTTTGCCGCTTTGTTTACGACCTAATCCGGCTCGCCTGTTCTCTTCCAGAGGGTGGTTAGCCGATGCCAGGTCCTCGATGTCTACCATCGTGAAGTCTTCGAGTCTTAGGAGCTTCGATCAGGCGATAGTCTCAAGGTGATGAAACAGCATAGAGAGTAGAGTTCCCAAAGTTCTTTGTTTTACGTTTGAAACGAGGACATTGCGACGCCAATACAGTGTTTGCGTTTCTGAGAACCTTTATGCTCCTATTTCTACATGGTTATTACCTTGCCAATACCAAGTGTTACTGAAGGTGCATAGCATCATTTGAGATGCAAACAAAATCTGAACACAACACATTGTTTCTGAATCAATAAAATCACAGAAATATTTTGTTAACTTAAGTTTATGTTTCTATCCTTTGGTGGTACATGCAATCAATGTATGACCAAATTCATGGTGAAACGAATGTCTTGTGTTGAAGACCTATATCCGCCTAAATGCATTTTATCCATAACTTATCTCGGAGATGCTAAAATTCGCATTAGATTCGGCATCCCGCCAGAATCCCAGCTAACGGCAGATCAATTTCAATGTCAGGCCATCAAGACAGCCCTCTGACGAAAAACGTGGGGATTGACGGTCTTGGCCTCTGAGATTGACCATCCGACTGTGCGTTCAGAACGGGCCCTTCAATAGAAATTCGCCTTTCAGCTTTCGCTCTTAGAATTTAGGTGGAAAAGGCATCATCAATAAGGTTCGTTTCATTGAAGCGACAGCTATGGCCGACAGCAACCCGCCAGCTGACGTGGCTCCCGGAGGTGGAAGCGGCGCGGAGGAGACGCGCAGCAAGAAATGGCTGCCGCTGGAATCGAATCCAGAAGTCATGAATGACGTGAGGCGATGAGCGACGTGCGACGTGAGGCGATGAGCGACGTGCGACGTGAGGCGATGAGCGACGTGAGTCGATGAGCGACGTGAGTCGATGTGCGACGTGAGGCGACGAGCGACGAGAGTCGATGTGCGACGTGAGGCGATGAGCGACGTGCGACGATGAGCGATGTGAGGCGGTTTCCTTTTTCCATTCACCCTTCCTTTTTCCCTTCCCCCTTCTTCCCCTTGCCCGTCAGTTTGTGCGCAAGGTCGGCTTTCCTTCTACAGCCGGTTTCCACGATGTCTTCGGTCTGGACTCGGATCTCCTCGCCATGGTGCCTCAACCGGTCCTCGCGCTGCTCTTCCTCTTCTTGCTCCCTCCCGAGGTACCATTGTCTTCCTTACTTTGTCACTGCTATCGTTTTTGCTTTCTTTCTTTTATTTCCGGTCGCTAAAACAGTGGCTCTTAATTAACAAGATTAGATGCCGGAGCGGCAACACCGTTTCGTTTCCTCAATCCTTTGTCTTGTTTCCCCCCTCCCCCCCCCCCCACTTGGTTTGCCTGTCCTTGCAGGAGCGGGCCAAAGAGCCAGAGCAGCACGACCAGGGCGGTACTCCCTACCAGGCGACTCCCTCACCTGAAGTGAGTCTTCCTGTTGGGCAGCATCGATTGGATTTGGCGAGATAATTCTTTTCAGTCCGGCTGAAAAGTCATTCGACGTGATCCCTGCTTGAGACAAAAAAGACTGGGGAGCTGCATTCCATTTCCCTCTGCTGAATGCTGAATGCAGGCCTTCTTGTCTCTTTTGTCTGTGCCCGCTTGGCGTGCGGGAATGTTTTCCTCATTAGAGGACCTTCTTTGCGTCAGTCGTCTCTTGCCCGCTTCCTGTGGATCTGCCTCTTGGCTTAAATTAATGTGTATCCGTGTTCCTGACTTGCATATAGGGCCGTGCCATGCCATGCCATACCGTGCTTTACCATGCCCCCCCCCGTATGTTCCTCACCTTTTCCCCTTGTTACCGGGCTTTACCTTTGCCATGCTACCGTGTTCCCCTTGTTTTCTGCCAATTGCCGACCCCTACCAGGCTACACAGCCATTCTTTGTGTGACGGGCCATGCATGCATGTGGCACGATCATTACCCGTTCCTCCTTTGTTCTCCCTCCCCCTCTTCCCACCCCCCGCCAGGCGGCAGCACAGCCATTTTTTGTGCGGCAGACCATAGACAACGCATGCGGCACGATCGCGCTGCTCCATGCTATCGGCAACAACCAACACAGGCTCACCCTCGGTACCCACTCTGCACCCCTTCGCTTGGACTGCAACGCGTTTTGCAGTGTCTCAGAAGTCTGACTGCACTTCCCTGTGCCTTATTTTCTTGCTCTGCAACGCTGCATTGACTTTTTGAGAATTCTCAAAAGTCTCTGGTCTCCCTCTGTTCTGCTCCCTGTGCCCAACAGAGCAGGGTTCATTCCTTCAGCAGTTCTTTGAAAAGACCAAAGACATGACACCGGAAGATGTGAGTGCATGGCATCTGGGCATGCGAGTGCATGGCATCTGGGCATGCATGCGAGTGCATGGCATCTGGGCATGCATGCGAGTGCATGGCATCTGGGCATGCATGCGAGTGCATGGCATATTGGCACTTGTGAGTCCTTGGCATCTCCCTTTTTCCCACCTCAGCACTCTCCCCTTTCCCCATCTCCCATTGTCCCATCCCCCCACCACCCGCCGAGCAGCCTATCTAGAGGCAGACGCGTTGCTGAAGAAGTCACACACAGATGCAGCAGTTTTGAGACATCTCGGCGCCCTCCCCTTTCCCCCTCTTCCATCTCCCCTCTCTCCCATCTCCCAGAGAACAGCCTATCTGGAGGCAGACACGTTGCTGGAGAAGGCACACACAGATGTAGTTTTGAGACACAGATGCAGCCTATTTCAGCACTCGTCCCTTTCCCATATCTCATATCCCCACGTCCCCATCTCCCAGCGAGCAGCCAATTGGGAGGCAGACACGCTCCTGGAGGAGGCACACACAGATGCAGCAGTTTTGAGACATGTCGGCGCCCTCCCCTTTCCCCCTCTTCCATCTCCCCTTTCTCCCATCACCCAGCGAGCAGCCTATTTGGAGGCAGACACGCTGCTGGAGAAGGCACACACAGATGCAGCAGAGGCGGGCGACACTCGGGTGGGTTCTTTTTTATGGTCCTACCTGCTTAAAACTGAGCACAGAAACGGATGTTCCTCAACAGAATTCTCATTCAATTTGTTGAGAGTTGTGAGTCAATTCTCAAGCCCACCAGTCGATTCACTGTGCCTTTTTTCCTCTCTTCGTGTCCGTTCTCACTCCTGCCTTGCCTCCATGTCTCTGCTGCTCTGTTTCCCCGCTTCCGGGATCTTTGCAGCCGCCGAGCATTTATGAGTGTGTGGATTTGCATTTCGTCGCCTTCGTCACCTCTGGAGGTCCGTATCTCACTCGCACCTACAACTCAAGTTCACATAAGACTCAAATTCGCATGTAAGTCAGTTTCATGGTCTGATTCAAAATCATCACGTCTGGAGGTTTGTATCTCACTCGCACCTACCAGTCAGATATCAATGAAAGTCGGACTCGCATGAGCTTGCAGTTACATTCTTTCCCATTGTTGCAGCAGGATTAACCCATTGCGTTCCTCTCCTTTCAGGTCGCCTGTATGAGCTAGACGGTCGCAAGCCAAAGCCGATCGACCACGGTCCTTCGTCGCCTGATAGCCTGCTGCAGGTGTGCTATGTTCCCGTGATACCCTGTTGCGTCTGGGTTGTTTCCCATGGTATCCTGCTGCAGGTGGGGCGCTGGTGGGCTATGTACCCATGATACCCTTCTGCAGGTGGGTTATGTTCCCTGCTTCTGGTGGGTTATAATCCCGTGATACCTGCAACAGGTGAGTTACTTTTCTCTGCATGTGTGTTATCTCCTACTGATACTCTGCTGCAGGTGGGGAAAGGTCCACTGCGCTCCCACTAGTGTTGTGACATCCTTGCTGAATTGTTTCGTCCTGTTTGCACTCCTTGCCTGCCATGCATGTGGCAGGATGCGGCGCGGGTGATGCAGAAGGTGATTGCAGCTAGCCCCAACTCGTTGCAATTCAATGTCATTGCCATGAGCCTTGTGCCGCCCGACTCTTGACTCCTGGGCAAAGCTTCTTTAGCAGCTTGAGCATAATTGAACCCAGACAGAGCTAGCCTCTACTCGTTGCAGTTCAACGTCATTGCTATGAGCCTTGTGCCACCTGAGTCCTGACTTCAGTGTGGAGCTTTATCTGCGCACAAGTTTCAGCACAAGCTTCAGGGATTTTTGCAGGGAAAGTGTGCAGCTAGCCCTGACTCGTTGCGGTTCAACATAATTGCTAGGAGCCTTGTGCCGCCCGACTCCTGATTCCAGCATGGAACTTTGTCTAAGCATACAAGCTTCAGCACAAGCTTCAGGGGGTCTTTTAAGCACTTGAAATATTGCAGCTAGCCCCAACTTTGTTGCAGTTCTTGTTATTGCCACGAGCCTTGCAGTATAGAGGAATGTTGATAGTTGTTTTCTTAGTTGTAATCTAGTATGCTCCAAACGGTGTAGCGTTATTGGCGGTTGCAAATTTCGGCAGAATTATGTGAAACGATGCATCTGCTTGCTTTTCGGACTCGACCCGTCCAACCAGCCAGTCGCACCGCATCGCATCATGATCGTTTGTGCCGTACAGTACCACGTAACCGTACAGCCTTGCTTGGGCTGATTGGTGCCGTGAACAAAAAAATTGGCGTGCATAACGCTGTACACATCCCATATTTGTATCTTGTGCATTTGCCTTTCACTCCTCTTGATTAATCGCAGCCGTTGATATTCGTCTTATCGCACTGTCAACCTGTTCTTCTTCAGTTATATGTTGATCTTTGTCCTTTTGCCTGCCCCAAAGTCCTTCTCTTTCGTGGGAAAGTAGCAAGACGGGCAAAAGCACACGCCAGATTCACTTGATCGGTAGCAGAGGACCTTTGCCGAGTTTTGTGGAGTCGAGGTGTCGGTGTGCCTGGCATGCTCACCTGGTCTCCCGGCTCCTGAGAGGCTTGGGGTGGAATATTTTGGAGGATAAAAAGCAGCAGTGCATTCTGAAGGTACGCATGGGTGGTGAATGGTGTGCGAGGAAGATGGGGTGGAATGAATGGAGGAAATAGCTCCCAGAAACCCAACATTCTCAGTTATGGGAAAGGGACAGACCAGGCCCGCAACGGAAATTCGACGAGTACAGTACATTAGCACTTGGTACTGTAGTCCGGCGTTTGTACTTCCAGCAAAGAATTCGAGAGTCGTCGCGTCGCGCGATTATTTCTTCACCCCCTCACCAACAACCAACCATCAAACCCATTCATTGATGCCAGCAACAGATTTTCACATTTTCATTCCGATACTGTACTGTATTTCTGCTAAGTGGCAAACATTGACTCGCCTGGTTGTTTCACATCCGTCACGTTTGACATGGCAGCAGTAGCAGCAGCACACAAAAGCGTGTGCCCAAAACTTTTATCTCCTGCCCATCCAGGTCAATGGTGGGGTCCCGCTGTGCATTCAATTCGGAAAAGGAAAATCTTACACTTTCTGTTGCAACAAACAAATCCAGATTTTCACTGTAGAGATATCCAGGCTGCGTGCGCTGGTGGATGCTGTCGTGTTGGTGCAAGTGTCTCGACCCGAAAACTTTTCAGGGGTAATACCCACCAGTATGCCTAGGTTTGGAGCAGCAGTTCTCTCTTTGGAGACACTAGAGTAATGCCCGAAAACTGCACACATGGTAAAGAAGTACCTTTCGGAACGGAAACTATAACGAGTCATGTTCATGAACCGCAGCTGCCATGCTCACAAGCGTTAACCAGCGTCACCCTATTGAACATGCGTAGAAGGGTATTCATTACTGGTATATTGACAGATTGCTTACAAAATGGCTACTGCGTGGATTCCAAAACCCAATTGAGTGTAGGGATTGTTGCTTTCCGAAGTTCCTCCAGAGTATCATTGATTTTTTTGGCAAAATCATGTCCCGGTCCCGGGTTGAAGGGCATTCACCCCACCCCTGCTGCACCTGCTCTTGGCTTTGCTCAGGCTGTCCATTTCTCTGTGGAGCATCAACTTGTCATGGGAGAATGTCATGTCGTCATGTGTTGAGTGTGGCTCACTCTGCACCAAGTGTTTGTTTTGTACAGTACTTGGTGATCGTCCGTTGTGTCCTTCTTGGATGCAATCTCCTACTGTATATTTTTAGGCTCCATTCCAAGTACACGCAGAGAACGAGTCTCACATAGGGTTGCGTCACGCAGGCGTCGCATTATCTAATGAATGCTTCTTTTCACCTTGCAATGACGACCTCGCTGTTTTCGCTACCATACTTCAGCGAGCTTCTTTACTTACGCCAAATACCAACGCGGCGACAATGGCAAAGACGAGGACTCACGACCATAGAAATAACGACACCGCTGCCGCCAGTTGTTACCACGTTGAAAAGTAGACTCCCACAGAGGTAAGAATACGCGTGGAGGGTTCAATATTACTACTACCCCGTCGACCTCAATCGACACGCCGTTATCGAAGACAGGACTCGCCGCAGATGCCGCAATGATCGCAATCAGTTCGCGACATCACGGCGGTCATCGTCATCACAACCATGGCGACGCCGGTTATGGCGATCGAGTCGCGGCTGGCGACCGACTTTTCGATTTGGACCGAGTCTTCGATGGCGGCTGGCCTGCTGTGGCGACGTCAGACGACGCGCGGTACCCCACGTCGTCGAGTCACCACCAAATGCAGCTTCATCCACCAGTGAACCTTGAATTCCACGCTCGCCGCGAGGATGACCGGTCGCTAGACTCAGAATCTTCGTTATACTCCGAAGCGCCGTTATATTCTGAATCGTCGTTAATATACTCAGCGCGGCGAATATCGCACCGTTTTTCGTGGCGCGGTTCCGATACTCGATCCCCGGTCGATTTCGGCGCTCTCAAGAATCGCGATATCTGTAGGCATATACCTGCGATGACGAGCAATACGAATTCTAAGCTATGTTGTAGTATATTACACAATACGCCTAGTACTACTAGAACTACCACTTCAGAGACGGAGAATTGGTTCTATACTACGACTACTATTGCAAGAACGGAGATTAGGGTTTCTCTTTCTAGCGCTACTCGTAGCAGCAGCAGTACAAGCAGTAGAGGTAGCAGTAGCAGTAGCCCTAGGAATAGTACAGAAATCGAGTTGCTGGGTCGACGTTGCGGCTCTATACGGACCTCGAGGGCTCGGCGCGCTGCGAACAGCTTCCCAAATTTCCACGGAACCCGCTGGAATGCCGGTGCGTTCACCATGACGTGGCTGATACTGTTGCTGACGTGCCAGTGTCCAGTTTTTCGGACGACCGCCGTGGGAGCGGATGTTGCGGATACGCTGGTGAAAGGAAGGCATCCCGCGAGCACAGCCATGAGCTTTGAACCCCTAGGATGGAGTGACCGTACTGAAAAGAGGAGCGTCGGCGACGCAGCTTGGTCAAGCAGTTTCAAGAGTTCTCAAAGTTACCGGAGTTCTCGGGGTTCTCGGAGCGCTGCGGACGGCAGTTTGACGGGATTCGAGCGCGACGCTCGGCCCGCATCTCTGGTAGAGGAGGCGTCGGATTCTTCGTCGACGGTTACTCCTCAATTTAGGTTTCATGGAGCCTTGCAGTACCAGCACCGGCAAGTCGATGCGTCAACGACGTTGTTACCACTCGATGGCAAAATTCCTTCGCTGCGAGTCTCCCCGGTTGCAGCGCCATCGCGCCAGTCGGCGCCGCGCGCGACGAACGAAGCCGTTGCTTCGTCGGTTTCGTCCCAACCTGCTTTGGCGGACCTAGCCGCGTCGCAGTCGATCACGATTGGCTGCCTCGTGCCTGTGGACCTCACACCCGACAGCGTTCACATGCTTGCCGGTACTACCAGGGGGGGGGGGTTGGTGGAATAGTCCCAGAATAAGTGCTTCAGTGCTATAGTGCTATCCCCCACGCTATCCTCCCCTTTCACGCCATCCTTCCCCCCACGCTACGCTTCCCCCACGCTGCGCTTCCCCCCACGCTGCGCTTCCCCCACGCTGCGCTTCCCCCCACGCTGCGCTTCCCCCCACGCTGCGCTTCCCCCCACGCTGCGCTTCCCCCCACGCTGCGCTTTCATCCACGCTGTCCTCTCCCCCACGCCGTCCTCCCCGTTCCCCTCCCCAACTCTATGTCCGCCAGCTGTGACTACAGCGATCGGTGAGACTAACCCTGTTTTTGCGTTCCCTGAAAATCTCCGCATTCCCTCCTTCACTTCCAGCTGTGACTTTAGCGGTGGGTGAAATCAACCTGTCAAAGTCTCTGCTGCCGAACCACACGCTGCTGCTCGCGCCGCTCAACTACACCACGCAGCCAGTCGCGGGGCAGATGGCAGGTGCGTCAGGGATCAGGGATGGGGGTGGAGGGCATGTGGGTGGCATGTGGGTGGCATGTGGGTGGCATGTGGGTGGCATGTGGGTGGCATGTGGGTGGCATGTGGGTGGCATGTGGGTGGCATGTGGATGGCATGTGGGTGGCATGTGGATGGCATGTGGGTGGCATGTGGGTGGCATGTGGGTGGCATGTGGATGGCATGTGGGTGGCATGTGGATGGCATGTGGGTGGCATGGAGGCATGGAGGCGTGCGGTGCATGTGCTGCGGTGGATGCAAGGGGGTACCTGGATTCCGGATTTGGCGTGCATCCTCATCCAGCCAGCATTCCAGCCAGCTTACCTTAATTTACACTCACCCCTCCACCCCAGCTACCATTTTCCCCATTTCAAACAACAGATTGTTTCCTCACTGCTGTAAAAACAATCCCCCAAACCTTCCACTTTCCCACCCCCCCCTCCTCCCCTCCCCCTTCCCTCCCCCCAACCTCCGATTCTCCCCTTCGCTTTCCCCAGCCCTCCAGCTAGCCTCAATGGATCCTCTGCCTGTGGCGGTGGTGGGACCGCGCAACTCGGACCAGGCCGCTCTGGTCAGCCCCCTGGCGTCGTTCGCTCAGGTGGGGGGAGAACGGGGGGAGAAGAAACGGGGGGGGCGGGGCCTCAGATGCGTGTGGTGAGGGACGTGGGGTTGGGATATGGGTGGTTTGTGCATGGCGGTGGTGGGACCGCGCAACTCGGACCAGGCCGCGCTGGTCAGCCCCCTGGCGTCGTTCGCTCAGGTTGGCAGGGAGGGCGAAAAATGAGGGACAGGGGGTGCTGTGGGGGGGAAGGGGGGTTCCCCCAACTCGGACCAGGCTGCGCTGGTCAGCCTCCTGGCATCGTTCGCTCAGGTGGCCAGGGGCGGATGGATGTGGGCTCTGGGGGGCGCGTAGGCAGACATGGGTGGGAGGAGAGGGGAGGGGAAAATGCAGAGGAGAGTCTGATTGAATTTTCTTGCTGCAACCGGCTAATTGAACTCCCAACCGCCACCCAGGTCCCCTCCCCACTGTGTTGCTTCATAATCGCTACCTTTTTGCTCGCTCACTCCCTGACCTGCTTCCACCCCCAACCCGTCGACCCTTTCCCACTCCGTTGTACCCATCCTGACTCCTTTCGTTTCAACCTCCCGCCCAGATCCCCTTTGTGTCGCCGTCCGCCACGGACGTGCGGTTGACAGCGGGCGGCGACCGGCCGTACTTCATGCGGACCATCCACAACGACGGCATGGACATGCGCGCCATCGCAGGTAACGGTAACCAAAGTGACTGTAGCGAAAGTGACTGTAATGGAAATGACAGCGGGCGGCGACCGGCCATACTTCATGCGGACCATCCACAACGACGGCATGGACATGCGCGCCATCGCAGGTGACTGTTACGAAAGTGACTGCAGCCAAAGTGATTGTACGGGAGTGACTGTAGCAGAAGTAGTTGGAGCGGAAGTGTAGCAAGGCGATTGTCATCCACAGTGTCATCAGTGCATCACTTTCTAGTTTTGAGGCGCCTCAAAACAAGGCGATTGTCATCCACAGTGTCATCAGTGCATCACTTTCTAGTTTTGAGGCGCCTCAAAACAAGGCGATTGTCATCCACAGTGTCATCAGTGCATCACTTTCTTTCTTCCCTCCTTTGCTCATCATCCATCCCCCCTTTTCTTGCCTTCACTTGCTCATCATCCGTCCTCTTTTGCTACCCCCTCTGCCGGCAGAGTTCCTGGCGTTCAACAAGTGGAGCGAGGTGATAGTCATTCATGGCAACGCCAGCTTTCTAGTGCGTTGATTTCCTTCATCTGCTCTCATCCGTCCTCCTCTGCCCCTCCCTTGCCCGGCAGAGTTCCTGGCGTTCAACAAGTGGAGCGAGGTGATAGTCATCCACAGTGACAACCGTTTCGGCCGCAACGGCATCGCGTCGCTCAACGGCTATCTCTCCATGCAGCAGGTGATTGCCATCCACAGTGTCCCCTCCCCCCATCGCTCCAAACCAGACTCTGTAGACTGTAGACTTTAGACTTGTAGACTGTATACTTCCCACCTCCTATTCTTGCACCTTTGCCTGCTCTTCCCTTGCACACCATCCCAGGCTCCCGCCGGCCGTATGCCTCACTTAGCTGCTTCTGCTCTTGCCCTCCTCTCCTCAACCCTCGTGCTCTCATGGCAGCAATGGAGGGTCAGGATCGCGACATGTGTGCCGATCAAGACGACGTGGTCGGTGGCGGACGGACACAGCAGCAGCACTGGCGGCGGTGGAGAGTTCTTTTGAGGCGTCTCAAAAGTCGTTGCCTCTGCTCTTTCTCTCCTGTTCTTCCTCAACCTTCTCTTCTCTCGTGCCAGCAATGGAAGGTCAGGATCGCGACACGTGTGCCGATCAAGACGACATGGTCGGTGGCGGACACAGCAGCAGCACTGGCAGCGGTGGAGCGGCTGGATCCGGCGGTCTTTGTGGTGCACGCCGCTGCTGCCCTCTGCGCTGTCATCTTCTCTGCTGGTACGCTCTCCGCTAGTGCCCTCTGCTGCTGCTGCCCTCTGCTGCTGCTGCCCTCTGCTGCTGCTGCCCTCTGCTGCTGCTGCTGCTGCTGCTGCTGCTGCTGCCTCTGCTGCTGCCTCTGCTGGGACTGTTGTGAGTCAATCCAAAGCACACCTGGTGCTGTGTTCTTGAGTCGACTCAAAGGGCAGCAGCAGCGCTGGCTGCAGTGGAGCGGCTTGATCCGGCGGTCTTCATGGTGCATGCTGCTGCTGCCCTCTGCGCTGTCATCTTCTCCGCTGGTAGGTGCGCTGTTGCTGGTACTGCCCTCCGCTGCTGCTGCATCTGCTGCTGCTGCCCTCTGCTGCTGCTGCTGCTGCTGCTGCTGCTGCTGCCTCTGCTGCTGCCTCTGCTGGGACTGTTGTGAGTCAATCCAAAGCACACCTGGTGCTGTGCTCTTGAGTCGACTCAAAGGGCAGCAGCAGCGCTGGCTGCAGTGGAGCGGCTTGATCCGGCGGTCTTCATGGTGCATGCTGCTGCTGCCCTCTGCGCTGTCATCTTCTCCGCTGGTAGGTGCGCTGTTGCTGGTACTGCCCTCCGCTGCTGCTGCATCTGCTGCTGCTGCCCTCTGCTGCTGCTGCTGCTGCTGCTGCTGCTGCTGCCTCTGCTGCTGCCTCTGCTGGGACTGTTGTGAGTCAATCCAAAGCACACCTGGTGCTGTGCTCTTGAGTCGACTCAAAGGGCAGCAGCAGCGCTGGCTGCAGTGGAGCGGCTTGATCCGGCGGTCTTCATGGTGCATGCTGCTGCTGCCCTCTGCGCTGTCATCTTCTCCGCTGGTAGGTGCGCTGTTGCTGGTACTGCCCTCCGCTGCTGCTGCATCTGCTGCTGCTGCCCTCTGCTGCTGCTGCTGCTGCTGCTGCTGCTGCTGCCTCTGCTGCTGCCTCTGCTGGGACTGTTGTGAGTCAATCCAAAGCACACCTGGTGCTGTGCTCTTGAGTCGACTCAAAGGGCAGCAGCAGCGCTGGCTGCAGTGGAGCGGCTTGATCCGGCGGTCTTCATGGTGCATGCTGCTGCTGCCCTCTGCGCTGTCATCTTCTCCGCTGGTAGGTGCGCTGTTGCTGGTACTGCCCTCCGCTGCTGCTGCATCTGCTGCTGTCCCTCTGTGCTGCTGCTGCCTCTGCTGGGACTGTTGTGAGTCAATCCAAAGCACACCTGGTGCTGCGCTCTTGAGTCGACTCAAAGGACAGCAGGCAGCAGCAGCGCTGGCTGCAGTGGAGCGGCTAGATCCGGCGGTCTTTGTGGTGCAAGCTGCTGCTGCCCTCTGCGCTGTCATCTTCTCTGCTGGTACGCTAGCTTAGAACTTTGGTCTACGGCTAGTTAATCATCCAGTCTATGGCTATCATAGGTCTGACTCACTCCAACGATTTGACATAGACCATGATAGCCATAGGCTGAATCGAGTTTTGAGTCGACTCAAAACTCCACTCCAACGATTTGACATAGACCATGATAGCCGTAGGCTGAATGAGTCATAGACTCCACCGATAGCCATAGGCTGAATGACAAAGGTACTCCCTTCCTCCTGCTGCCCGGCCCGGTCCCCGCCTGTGACATCCGTGTGCAGCGAATCAGATGCAGCTGGTGGGGAAGAACTCGGTGTGGGTGGCGTCGGAGGGGGCAGCACTCATAGTGATGTGTCACGTTCCCACCTTCCTCCTTCTACATCCCCCCCTCCTGCCACCTCTCCCTGCCTGTCACATCCGTGTGCAGCGAATCAGATGCAGCTGGTGGGGAAGAACTCGGTGTGGGTGGCGTCGGAGGGAGCAGCGCTTGTCAATTCCACCATGCTGCAGAACGTGGAGGTGAGGCGGGGAATAGGCTGTAGCCGTAGGGAAGTGGGGTCCGTAGCAGCATTGCTGCATTGATGCCTGCACAGCTAATCTGCGGTGGGCCTGGGGCAGTGAGGCAGGCCTGGGGCAGTGAGAGGCCTGGGGCAGTGAGGCCTGTACGGTGTAGATCCTCTTATTGTTCCCCAACCTGATTTCGCTTCCCCTGGCCCTCTTCAATCCCCTCATATCCCACTCCCTCCCCTCACACCCCCCTCTCAACCCACCCACACACACACCTCTCCCCCTCACACCCCTGCCACCACCAGGGCATGGTCATCACCTCGACCTACCTCCCTCCATCTCCACGGCTCACCTCGTACCACTCTCATTCTTCTCATACCCCTCTCAACCCACCCACACACACGCCCCTCCCCCTCACACCTTTGCCACCACCAGGGCATGGTCATCACCTCGACCTACCTCCCTCCATCGCCGCGTCTCACCTCGTTTCAGGAGAAGCCAAACTGAACCCCATACGCTTCCCCAACGCCAGCAAGGAGGTGAGTTTTGTTGCTCACTCACTCTATGCAACGACTGCCCTTCATTCCGCTTTTGAGGCCCCTCAGAAACCGGTACGGAAGAATTGGGCCAAACAGAACCCCGTACGCTTCCCCAACGCGAGCAAGGAGGTGAGTTGGTCTCAATATCTTTTCCAGCAGAGAGTGCAAGCCATTTCGTGGGTCCCTTTGTCAGTCAGTCAGTCAGTCAGTCAGTCAGTCCTGCACCCTGGCGGCCTGTTACACCTCTTACCCTGCCATCTCTCCTCCCTGATCGATGGCAGCACCAGGAGCTTCCAGTAGAAAAGCGAGCTCTCTCTGCTTCAACCTGCCTTTCTTTCCTTCCCCTCCTTTCCCTCCTCTCCTTCCCCTCCCCTCCCTCCTCACGCCTTCCTCCCCTCCAGGAGCCCAAGTCGTACACGCTAGCAGCATACGACGCCACGTACCTCATAGCCTGGGGGCTG